TAGGTGTGGCGCTGCAGGTTACTTTTTTGATGGAGTTAAATAGAGATTTGTGATCACGGGTCACTGAGGCAGACTCCATCTCCTCAGCAACCCGCGACCACCACCCATCCTTGCAGCGCCTCACGGCTCTCCGAACCTCCGAGCGAAGGCTGCGGTAAGCCTCCTCATTCTCTGACGTGGGATTCTGTAGCCGATGACAGTGGGCCTGTCGCTTTTTCTCAACCATCCTGAACAACTCCTCTGTCATCCAGGGTGTCTGGGGAGGTCTGGACCGCGTACCCAAAGCAGCCATTGCAGCTGCATGAGTCACAGTCCTAAACCTCGCCCATTTACCCTCGACATCAGGAGGAGTCGGGGACGATGCCAATCCCAGCCGCAAGCGATGATGAAATTCTCGCTTGCAACTTTCATCAGATAACTGAGACCAGGCCACTTTAGGTTGGAATGGGGTCCTGGGTGTACACCCACCACCGGAGTGGAAGAATGGCAGGCGCATCTTACAGATGACTAGTCGATGGTCAGAGGGCAGATCAGCTCCACGGTAGGTCCTGGTGTCAAGGACATGGGCTCGCATTCGCTGGTCCGTCACTATGTAGTCCAGCAGATGTTCTTGCTTGGACCCGGCATGCATCCATGATGTTGTGTGGATGCGCCGATGCCGGAACAGCGTGTTGGTAATTACAAGCCCATGGGCTGCACAAAAATCTAGCAGCCTCCTACCGTTGTTATTGAGCTGATCTGGCCCATGCCCTCCAATCACTCCAGACCAGGTGCCAGTATCATGACCAACTCGGGCATTGAAGTCACCCAACATGATGACTCTATCCCGAGGGGCCACTTTAGCCAGCACCTGTGACAGGAGGTCATAGAAGGCATCTGACTCATCGGCTTTGCCTGTATCCCTCCACGGATGTTCGTCTTCGGTGGGGGCATAAGTAACCACGACCACCATTCCTCGCCTCCGGTTGATGGGAAGGCGAGCCCAAAGTAGCCTGGGGCTTACAGCTTCCCACACCTCACCGCCACGCTCCCACGCCCCCTTCATTCTTTTGTTCAAAAGAAGACCCACACCCTGTTGTTTGGCAGTCTGCTGCCCCGAGTAGAGGACTGTCCACCCCTCATGGTGGCAGGAGCCAGAGCCGGTCCACCGGACCTCCTGAATGCCGCATAGATCCAGGCGGTACCGGTCCAGCTCCCGACAGAGGAGTGGCAGCCTCTCCTCTGCAGTGAGCGTTCGAACATTCCACGTGGCCAACCGTAGTGGCTTTTCGTTGTTTCTGGAGTAGCCCCGAGGGTAGGTATTCAATCTCCTGGCTCCGCCAATTGGGGTTTGGCCAGGAGACGTCATAGACGCCTGGCCCCCCGGGGCCTCCGGCACAAGCTTAGTTGTTACATATTTCATTCGTAGTTTCGTGGTAATTAATTGAAGGTGGAGGGGTTACCAGCCCCTCGCACCCGTCCAGAGCCCCCGTTTAGCCCCTGTGGTGGACACATATGCCATGAGGGGAGGAGCCAATCAAAATTGGATCTCCCCCCACAGCGCTGTCCACGACAGAGTTGCCCGTCCGGCACCGCGAGGAGGTAGGGGGTTGTTTTGCCGGACACACAGACACACACACATATACACACACACGTACACACATACACACACATACACACACAGACACACATACACACACATACACACATACACACACACACGTACACACATGCACATACACAGACACACACACATACACACACATACACACACATACATACACACATACACACACACGTACACACACACACGTACACACACGCACATACACAGACACACACACACACACATACACACACATACACACACACAGACACACACACACATACATACACACACATACACACATACACACACGTACATACACACACACAAACACACACACACACATACACACACACACATACACACAGACACACACACAGACATACACACACACACACATACACACACACAGACACAGACATACACACACACACATACACACACACGTACACACACATGCACATACACAGACACACACACATACACACACATACACACACATACATACACACATACACACACACACGTACACACACACACGTACACACACACATACACACACACACACACCTGACACACACACAGTGGTGTGTGTGGGTCACGTGTGTGTGTGTGTGTGGGTCACGTGTGTGTGTGTGTGGGTCACGTGTGTGTGTGTGTGGGTCACGTGTGTGTGTGGGTCACGTGTGTGTGTGTGTGCGTCACGTATGTGTGTGTGTGTGGGTCACGTGTGTGTGTGTGTGGGTCACGTGTGTGTGTGTGGGTCACGTGTGTGTGTGTGTGGGTCACGTGTGTGTGTGTGTGTGGGTCACGTGTGTGTGGGTGTGTGTGGGTCACGTGTGTGTGTGTGTGGGCCACGTGTGTGTGTGTGGGTCACATGTGTGTGTGTGTGGGTCACGTGTGTGTGTGTGGGTCACGTGTGTGTGTGTTGGTCACGTGTGTGTGTGTGTGGGTCACGTGTGTGTGGGTCACGTGTGTGTGTGTGTGGGTCACGTGTGTGTGTGTGTGTGGGTCACGTGTGTGTGTGTGTGTGGGTCACGTGTGTGTGTGTGGGTCACGTGTGTGTGTGTGTGTGTGGGTCACGTGTGTGTGTGTGTGTGGGTCACGTGTGTGTGTGTGTGGGTCACGTGTGTGTGTGTGGGTCACGTGTGTGTGTGTGTGGGTCGTGTGTGTGTGTGTGGGTCACGTGTGTGTGTGTGGGTCACGTGTGTGTGTGTGTGTGGGTCACGTGTGTGTGTGTGGGTCACGTGTGTGTGTGTGTGGGTCACGTGTGTGTGTGTGGGTCACGTGTGTGTGTGTGTGTGGGTCACGTGTGTGTGTGTGTGGGTCACGTGTGTGTGGGTCACGTGTGTGTGTGTGTGGGTCACGTGTGTGTGTGTGTGTGGGTCACGTGTGTGTGTGTGTGGGTCACGTGTGTGTGTGTGTGGGTCACGTGTGTGTGTGTGGGTCACGTGTGTGTGTGTGTGTGTGTGGGTCACGTGTGTGTGTGTGTGTGGGTCACGTGTGTGTGTGTGTGTGTGGGTCACGTGTGTGTGTGTGTGTGGGTCACGTGTGTGTGTGTGTGTGTGGGTCACGTGTGTGTGTGGGTCACGTGTGTGTGTGTGTGTGTGGGTCACGTGTGTGTGTGGGTCACGTGTGTGTGTGTGGGTCACGTGTGTGTGTGGGTCACGTGTGTGTGTGTGGGTCACGTGTGTGTGTGTGTGTGGGTCACGTGTGTGTGTGTGTGGGTCGCGTGTGTGTGTGTGTGGGTCACGTGTGTGTGTGTGTGTGGGTCACGTGTGTGTGTGTGTGTGGGTCACGTGTGTGTGTGTGGGGTCACGTGTGTGTGTGTGTGGGTCACGTGTGTGTGTGTGTGGGTCACGTGTGTGTGTGTGGGTGGGTCACGTGTTTGTGTGTGTGTGTGTGGGTCACGTGTGTGTGTGTGTGGGTCACGTGTGTGTGTGTGTGTGGGTCACATGTGTGTGTGTGGGTCACGTGTGTGTGTGGGTCACGTGTGTGTGTGTTGGTCACGTGTGTGTGTGTGTGGGTCACGTGTGTGTGGGTCACGTGTGTGTGTGTGTGGGTCACGTGTGTGTGTGTGTGTGGGTCACGTGTGTGTGTGTGTGTGGGTCACGTGTGTGTGTGTGGGTCACGTGTGTGTGTGTGTGTGGGTCACGTGTGTGTGTGTGTGTGGGTCACGTGTGTGTGTGTGTGGGTCACGTGTGTGTGTGTGGGTCACGTGTGTGTGTGTGGGTCACGTGTGTGTGTGTGTGGGTCGTGTGTGTGTGTGTGGGTCACGTGTGTGTGTGTGGGTCACGTGTGTGTGTGTGTGTGGGTCACGTGTGTGTGTGTGGGTCACGTGTGTGTGTGTGGGTCACGTGTGTGTGTGTGGGTCACGTGTGTGTGTGTGTGTGGGTCACGTGTGTGTGTGTGTGGGTCACGTGTGTGTGGGTCACGTGTGTGTGTGTGTGGGTCACGTGTGTGTGTGTGTGTGGGTCACGTGTGTGTGTGTGTGGGTCACGTGTGTGTGTGTGTGGGTCACGTGTGTGTGTGTGGGTCACGTGTGTGTGTGTGTGTGGGTCACGTGTGTGTGTGTGTGTGTGTCACGTGTGTGTGTGTGTGTGTGGGTCACGTGTGTGTGTGTGTGTGGGTCACGTGTGTGTGTGTGTGGGTCACGTGTGTGTGTGTGTGGGTCACGTGTGTGTGTGTGTGTGTGGGTCACGTGTGTGTGTGGGTCACGTGTGTGTGTGTGGGTCACGTGTGTGTGTGGGTCACGTGTGTGTGTGTGGGTCACGTGTGTGTGTGTGTGGGTCACGTGTGTGTGTGTGTGGGTCACGTGTGTGTGTGTGTGGGTCACGTGTGTGTGTGTGTGTGGGTCACGTGTGTGTGTGTGTGTGGGTCACGTGTGTGTGTGTGGGTCACGTGTGTGTGTGTGTGGGTCACGTGTGTGTGTGTGTGGGTCACGTGTGTGTGTGTGGGTGGGTCACGTGTTTGTGTGTGTGTGTGTGGGTCACGTGTGTGTGTGTGTGGGTCACGTGTGTGTGTGTGTGTGGGTCACATGTGTGTGTGTGGGTCACGTGTGTGTGTGGGTCACGTGTGTGTGTGTTGGTCACGTGTGTGGGTGTGTGTGGGTCACGTGTGTGTGTGTGTGTGGGTCACGTGTGTGTGTGTGTGTGGGTCACGTGTGTGTGTGTGGGTCACGTGTGTGTGTGTGTCGGTCACGTGTGTGTGTGTGGGTCACGTGTGTGTGTGTGTGGGTCACGTGTGTGTGGGTCAAGTGTGTGTGTGTGTGGGTCACGTGTGTGTGTGTGTGGGTCACGTGTGTGTGTGTGTGTGGGTCACGTGTGTGTGTGTGTGTGGGTCACGTGTGTGTGTGTGGGTCACGTGTGTGTGTGTGTGGGTCACGTGTGTGTGTGTGTGTGGGTCACGTGCTCACCAGGTTCACGAGAGGCCCTCCAGAGTTGCCGTACTTGGGGGTCAGAGACCGGCAACAGAAAAACAGCAGAGTGGTCACCCCTCACCACTACTCACCACTACACTCACCACTACACTCACCACTACTCACCACTACACTCACCACTACACTCACCACTACTCACCACTACTCACCACTACACTCACCACTACTCACCACTACTCACCACTACACTCACTACACTCACCACTACTCACCACTACTCACCACTACTACTCACCACTACACTCACCACTACTCACCACTACTCACCACTACACTCACCACTACACTTACCACTACTCACCACTACTCACCACTACACTCACCACTACTCACCACTACTCACCACTACACTCACCACTACTACTCACCACTACACTCACCACTACTCACCACTACTCACCACTACACTCACCACTACTCACCACTACACTCACCACTACTACTCACCACTACTCACCACTACTACTCACCACTACTCACCAAACTCACCACTACTCACCACTACACTCACTACACTCACCACTACACTCACCACTACTACTCACCACTACTCACCACTACTCACCACTACACTCACCACTACACTCACCACTACTCACCACTACTCACCACTACACTCACCACTACTACTCACCACTACACTCACCACTACTCACCACTACTCACCACTACACTCACCACTACTCACCACTACTACTCACCACTACTCACCACTACTACTCACCACTACTCACCAAACTCACCACTACTCACCACTACACTCACTACACTCACCACTACACTCACCACTACACTCACCACTAGTAGACTCACCACAACTACACTCACCACTACTCACCACTACTCACCACACTCACCACTACTCACCACTACACTCACCACTACTCACCACTACACTCACCACTACTCGCCACTACACTCACCACTACTACTCACCACTACTACACTCACCACTACTCACCACACTCATCACTACTCACCACTACACTCACCACTACTACTCACCACTACTACACTCACCACTACTCACCACTACTCACCACTACACTCACCACTACTCTCACTACACTCACCACTACACTCACCACTACACTCACCACTAGTAGACTCACCACAACTACACTCACCACTACACTCACCACTATTCACCACTACTCACCACACTCACCACTACTCACCACTACACTCACCACTACACTCACCACTACTCGCCACTACACTCACCACTACTACTCACCACTACTACACTCACCACTACTCACCACACTCACCACTACTCACCACTACTCACCACTACTCACCACTACACTCACCACTACTACTCACCACTACTACACTCACCACTACTCACCACTACTCACCACTACACTCACCACTACTCACCACTACTCACCACTACTCACCACTACTCACCACTACACTCACCACTACTCACCACTACTCACCACTACACTCACCACTACTCACCACCACTACACTCACCACTACACATCACTACACTCACCACTACTCACCACTACTCACCACACTCACCACTACACTCACTACACTCACCACTACACTCACCACTACTCACCACTACACTCACACTACTCACCACTACTCACCACACTCACCACTACACTCACCACTACTCACCACTACACTCACCACTACTACTCACCACTACTCACCACTACTACTCACCACTACTACACTCACCACTACACTCACCACTACACTCACCACTACTCACCACTACACTCACCACTACACTCACCACTACTCACCAAACTCACCACTACACTCACCACTACTCACCAAACTCACCACTACACTCACCACTACTCACCAAACTCACCACTACACTCAACACTACTCACCAAACTCACCACTACACTCACCACTACTCACCAAACTCACCACTACACTCAACACTACTCACCACTACTCACCACTACACTCACCACTACTCACCACTACACTCACCACTACTCACCACTACTCACCACTACTACACTCACCACTACTCACTACTACACTCACTACACTCACCACTACTACACTCACCACTACTCACCACAACACTCACCACTACTCACCACTACTCACCACTACTACTCACTACTACTCACCACTACTCACCACTACACTTACTACACTCACCACTACACTTACTACACTCACCACTACACTCACCACTACTCACCACTACACTCACCACTACTACTCACCACTACACTCACCACTACTCACCACTACTCACCACTACACTCACCACTACTCACTACTACACTCGCTACACTCACCACTACTCACCACTACTCACCACTACACTCACCACTACTCACCACTACTCACCACAATCACCACTATTCACCACACTCACCACTACTCACCACTACTCACCGCTACACTCACCACTACTACACTCACCACTACTCACCACTACTCACCACTAAACTCACCACTACTCACCACTACTCACTATACTCACCACTACACTCACCACTACACTCACCACTACTACACTCACCACTACTCACCACTACTCACCACTACACTCACTACACTCACCACTACTCACTATACTCACCACTACACTCACCACTACACTCACCACTACTACACTCACCACTACTCACTATACTCACCACTACTACTTACCACTACTCACCACTACACTCACCACTACACTCACCACTACTACACTCACCACTACTCACCACTACTCACCAAACTCACCACTACACTCACCACTACTACACTCACCACTACTCACCACTACTCACCACTACACTCACCACTACTCACCACTACTACACTCACCACTACTCACTATACTCACCACTACTACTCACCACTACTCACCACTACACTCACCACTACACTCACCACTACTACACTCACCACTACTCACCACTACTCACCAAACTCACCACTACACTCACCACTGCTACACTCACCAATACTCACCAAACTCACCACTACACTCACCACTACTACTCACCACACTCACCACTACTCACCACTACTCACCAAACTCACCACTACTCACTACTACACTCACTACACTCACCACTACTACACTCACCACTACACTCACCACTACTCACCACTACACTCACCACTACTCGCCACTACACTCACCACTACTACTCACCACTACTACACTCACCACTACTCACCACACTCACCACTACTCACCACTACTCACCACTACTCACCACTACACTCACCACTACTACTCACCACTACTACACTCACCACTACTCACCACTACTCACCACTACACTCACCACTACTCACCACTACTCACCCCTACTCACCACTACTCACCACTACACTCACCACTACTCACCACTACTCACCACTACACTCACCACTACTCACCACCACTACACTCACCACTACACATCACTACACTCACCACTACTCACCACTACTCACCACACTCACCACTACACTCACTACACTCACCACTACACTCACCACTACTCACCACTACACTCACCACTACTCACCACTACTCACCACACTCACCACTACACTCACCACTACTCACCACTACACTCACCACTACTACTCACCACTACTCACCACTACTACTCACCACTACTACACTCACCACTACACTCACCACTACACTCACCACTACTCACCACTACACTCACCACTACACTCACCACTACTCACCAAACTCACCACTACACTCACCACTACTCACCAAACTCACCACTACACTCACCACTACTCACCAAACTCACCACTACACTCAACACTACTCACCACTACTCACCACTACACTCACCACTACTCACCACTACACTCACCACTACTCACCACTACTCACCACTACTACACTCACCACTACTCACTACTACACTCACTACACTCACCACTACTACACTCACCACTACTCACCACAACACTCACCACTACTCACCACTACTCACCACTACTACTCACTACTACTCACCACTACTCACCACTACACTTACTACACTCACCACTACACTTACTACACTCACCACTACACTCACCACTACTCACCACTACACTCACCACTACTACTCACCACTACACTCACCACTACTCACCACTACTCACCACTACACTCACCACTACTCACTACTACACTCGCTACACTCACCACTACTCACCACTACTCACCACTACACTCACCACTACTCACCACTACTCACCACAATCACCACTATTCACCACACTCACCACTACTCACCACTACTCACCGCTACACTCACCACTACTACACTCACCACTACTCACCACTACTCACCACTAAACTCACCACTACTCACCACTACTCACTATACTCACCACTACACTCACCACTACACTCACCACTACTACACTCACCACTACTCACCACTACTCACCACTACACTCACTACACTCACCACTACTCACTATACTCACCACTACACTCACCACTACTACACTCACCACTACTCACTATACTCACCACTACTACTTACCACTACTCACCACTACACTCACCACTACACTCACCACTACTACACTCACCACTACTCACCACTACTCACCAAACTCACCACTACACTCACCACTACTACACTCACCACTACTCACCACTACTCACCACTACACTCACCACTACTCACCACTACTACACTCACCACTACTCACTATACTCACCACTACTACTCACCACTACTCACCACTACACTCACCACTACACTCACCACTACTACACTCACCACTACTCACCACTACTCACCAAACTCACCACTACACTCACCACTGCTACACTCACCAATACTCACCAAACTCACCACTACACTCACCACTACTACTCACCACACTCACCACTACTCACCACTACTCACCAAACTCACCACTACTCACTACTACACTCACTACACTCACCACTACACTCACCACTACTCACCACCACACTCACCACTACTACACTCACCACTACACTCACTACACTCACCACTACTCACTATACTCACCACTACACTCACCACTACACTCACCACTAC